ATTAATTAAAAAAAAATCAAAACTATGATACGATATATTTTTTAGGTCTTAGATAGATTGATAGCTTACAATTATCCAGACCCTGTACCAAACATTCTATCTTTTCGATTCATTATTAATACTAAACCAATCTTTTAGATCATTGATTTATAAAATTCCTTTTTTTGGAATTTCTTCTTTGCTACACACGAAAGAAATGTCATTGAGATTAATTCAGCCAGATGAATTATAAATAAATTTTTATATTCATGATGAAAAGGTGTCTAGAATTTTGATCACAATATTTCAAACAACTTTTATTGATGTATCTCATGTATATTACTCAGCTCGTGTGTCTTCTACCTTAACTAGCTACTTTCTTTAATATTTATTCCACGATCGAGTAGCTAAGTACAAAAATAACGATCAAGAACAATGATTTATAATTATGATAAAAATTGTATTTTACTTTACAATTTAATTATATAGACAATTTCATTGATTTTAAGAGTTATATTAAATTTAATTTAACAAATATTAACATGAGGGAGCATATAGTGAGAATGATCAAAGCTGATGGAGTAACTAATTGATTTTTGAAAATGCAAGGTTGGATTAATAATTACGGAGTATGACATAACCTAATGGGGGTTAATACTCCATAGTAATTTTCCCTTACTCTTGAGCAGCATGCCCTAAGTTAAATTTCGTTGGAGAGATTTAGGGTTATTTTTAGATACCTCCCCTAAAGTATACATATTTGACACTTAGAGATAGGTTATCCATATATCATTGAAGTGCCCCTAATTCATCATCCTATCACATCTCAAATAGATTAAAGAAAACAATTGAAAAGCCTTATTAAAATGTCAATACCAATGCTGCAAGGGATTCAAGTCCACGTACAAAGGAAACTACTCCATATCTAGTACTGGTAAAAAAATGTCATATCTACCTCCATCCCGAAAAGGTTCCCCATATTTTATTTTTACATTAATTTGTATAGAATTTATAAATTTTATATTTTTAGGAAAATATTATGAATAAGGAACATTTTGATATAATTTTCATATTTTAATGATTTTGTATTAAAAAATAACATTGGTCAAAGTTGATTGTCATTAACAAAAAAATCAATTTGGAGAACCTTTTTGGGACGGAGGGAGTACTTTTTATTGGAAAAATTGACCATAATAATTTCACATTTTTTAATCTTAGCTCACAATAAACTCACTTAAACGTAAAATAGAAAAGCTCACATTTGCTTGTCTTCAATTCTTTCATTAGTCTATGACCGATTGATGACTTGTTATTTCCAATTTTTTACTTTAATGGATGTAGAACGCTTACAACACACCATTACGAAAGCCCAAACATCTAACTTCTAAACCATGCTGAGTGCTTATAGAGAGTGTAGAAAGAGACTAAGTTATTCAATGCAAGTTTGCCGGCCCTTTACAATGAAGTAATGTATTTATTTATACTATAGGGTCGTAGGTGGTTGGGGTGATGTGGCCACTGTTCGAAAAACCGGCCTAGTCGGCCGCCTAGGCGCACCTCAATTGGCCGACTAGCGCTTAGCAAGTTTTAGAACAATAGATGTTGCGTGCCCTGATAGGTTGTTCCTCAATCATAAAATCCTCCATTTGATGTATTTACTGTTTTCTCTGCCAATTGTAGCTTTCCCGTCAACTTTTGATAGAACAGATCCTATAGCGAGAAATGTGCAAGTGTTGATCCCGTTTGGGAGGCTTTACCTCGGGGGAGTCGAAGATACCGGTCAAGATAGGCAGCTCGGTCGGGCGGGACCATGTCCCGAGCGTGGTTATAGGTCTCCTTTGCAGGTTGGTCTGTGGTGGTATTTGGGTTAGCTTGACGTTGAACCTAATACCCCGAGACATTAAATAAAAATAAATACATTGCAAAAAGATAAATACATAAAAAGAGAAATGAAATAAAAATACGGGAAGAAAAAAACAAAAAATGTATTGGAGGAGGAAACTTTGCAAAAAGACTCTCTCGATTGGGAATAGCATACAAAAATATGGAAAAGAAGTAAAAATAAGAAGACGAAAAAAAGGATTAAAAAGGGCATCGAGGAATAAAAAGAAAGAGAAAGCTTATAAAATGAAAAAAGATATATGCGACTATTTTTAGAAACCCAATGAAAGTGAGAATTATTTGTTTATATTTTCCAAACAAAAAGTAAAAACCGTGAAATAGTAGGTGATCAATCGATCGGGAATTAATGAAAGAAGATGTGACACAACGTGTAATTATTTTGGGATTATGTGTAGGTGAGTCTTTTTTATTAGAAGATCGAGGAAATGTTGGATTATTATCAAAATTTTCACTATTTAATAGGAGTATAAGATATATGACATTTTTAATCAATGTAAGATAGAGAGTAGTTTCTTTTTTGGACTTTGGTTCGATATGCTGGACTGCTGCCCAACATAACTACTTACATTTGATTAAGGGAATCCCTTTGATCAATACAAAACACTTTTCAATTGTTTCATTTAACCTACTCCGTATTTGAGATGTGAGTGTTAGGAATAGGGAGCACTTCAATAATAAATAACTTACCTCAAAGTGTCAAATATCCGTACCTCAGGGGAGGTATATAAAAATAATGCGAGAGATTTATTTCTAAGGTCCATGTGAGTTGTGGTTCTTTCGTCCCAAGTTTAGTTGGACGTCTGCTCTAGGTTTGGTTTCCTGCCTAAGCTAGTTTTCTCAACAATTGATCAATCCTTCCTATTGCTTTCCGTCATATCAGTCGTTCCTGTAGACCAAAATTGTCGTACACCCATGACAATTACATAATCTGAATATGACTGTATGAGTGCAAAATAAAAATTGCAAGTATCTAGTTATTTACCGTCATAAAAGTCCATAGAGCACTCAGATTTTCTTTCCTTGACAAAATAACACTGTACTAGCTCTTCCTTTACCCCAACTAGTAACTCACATGTACATTGCACGGATTGAAAAGTATCCCTTTCAAAAGTTTAACTATGTACGTAACATTTATTTAAAATATATACAGAGTGTCAACATAAAATGAATGTCAACAATAGTACGATGAAATAATGTAATTGTAGGCACAACATAGATGTTGAAAATTCAAATAGTTTACCACTATTTTCAAACTCTTCTTTGTATACAACATTTATTTATATCTCAAAATGAGATATTAATTTAATATTAGTAGTATTCTACCCATGCATAGAAAAAAGGAAAAGTAGGCAAAAGGTATCATTGGTTGGACATAGGGCTGGACTCGGGCCGGTTCGGGCCTGATTCGGGCCAGGAAAGGGGAGGTCCGAGCCCGAACCGCCGGTGGCCGGTTCCGGTTCCGGTTCCGCCGGGCCAAACCGGGCCGGGCCGAACCGGCCCAATTAATTTTTTTTTTGTTCTCCTATTTAATCCCCTACCCCTCCCCCTCAACCCCAAACCATCCCAAACCACCTCAAATGGCCCAAAATACCTAATCCAACCTAAAACTTAAAAAAATTTCAAAAAAAAAATTAAAATCCGGCCCGGACCGGGCCCGAACCGGCCGGGCCGGTTCACCAAAACCTGGGCCCGAGCCCGGACCGCCCAGCACCCGGGCCGGGCCAAACCGAACCGGTGGACCCACCGGGCCACGGGCCGGGCCGGGCCAAACAGTGACCGGGCCGGTTCGGTCTCGGGTCGGGCCGCCCGGCCCGAGTCCAGCCCTAGTTGGACATGTTTTCAGATAGAGTCATGAGTCATTTTTTTAACAAAGTGATTCATGTGTTTGAACTTTGTTATGACAAGAGAAATTTGACGCCTGTCATCGTTAAAAACGCTCGAGGAAGATGACGAATAGTAACTCTGATTTTCAAAAGTGCGCGGAAAATGAATTCGCTAATATCAGTTTTCCATCGTACTTTCTGCTGACCAGGGAGGCTGGAAACCACAAAGAAAGACGGCCTAGCAGGCGTCTTGTCGATGTGCACTTTCTAGTATTTTTCTTTTAATTTTCTAGACACTTTTAAAAATTGGAGTTATTGTTCATCGTCTTCCTCCGATGATTTCTAATTGTGTCAGGCGCTAGGACCATGTTGTAATAACAGAGTTCAAAAACATGAACAACTTTGTTAAAAAATGAAACATGTGACTCTATCTGAAAATAAGTTCAATCACATGTATCTTTTCCGTACATTTCCCTAGAAAAAACTCTATCTTAAATGTTATCAAGTATTTGGGTATTTAAAAAGTTAAACAAATTAAAGTTTTAACTCACGAAGGGAAAGTGATCAATCAACTGATCAATAAACCGTAAAGGGAAAGTGATCCTTCCGGGTGGCCTCATTCAATTTACGATAATCAATGACCATCCGCCACCCGGTTACAGTCCTACTAGGTAGGAGTTCTCCCTTCTTGTTCCTAACCACCGTCATGCCCCCTTCTTGGGGACCACATGAGTAGGGCTAAGCCTTTAGCTATTTGAAATTATATTGGATAAATTATACCCACATCGAGAAGCTTAGGACTCCTACCTTTACCACATCCATCATCTTGGGGTTTAAACGTCGTTGCGGTTGCACAACTGGTTTCTACCCCTCATCACACTTGGTTTTGTGGGATCAGAAGGTTGGGGTAATCTCACGAAGATCCTCAAGCTTACGAGCAATGACTTGCTCGTGACGCCTAAGGACTAGTGCATCAATTTTTCCTTTTGTCCCGACTCTAACTAAGCCGAAATAATGACAGGGCGTTGGTCCTCAGTGTCCAAAAATGCATACTTGAAGTGACTAGGGGGGTGATTTGAGTTCAATGGACTGTTCCTCAAACTTAGTAAGCAACTCAGGGAAAACATCGTCCCTAATCACATATTCGCAATCAACGGTCCATTGTTCTTCATTTTAAGCCGGTATATATCCTCTATCCTCCACATAGTAAATGTCATTATATGGTGGGGTAAATATCAATATCGCCTCTGATGGAGTATATGTGTAACACCCCAAATTTTCCCACACAAATAGCTTGGAAATTTTATAATAAAATGATAACTTTATTAAGACAATTTCAGCGGAAGTCTTTAACAATGAAAATTTAGAGTGTTACCGCCACACTTAGCAAAACATGGCTAAGTGCACAGGCAAATAAAACCAATGTACTTAATGAAATAACACGTGCGAAGTAAAAATAACAAAAGTGATCCAGAGTGATGTTCTTAAATTTAAATAAAAGCCGTGCTAGAGTATCTTCTAATGGACGCTCTCAAGTCTCTAACCAAGCACATCATCCAAAGCAATATCATCTGTAATTATAGAGAAAGAAAAGAAACAAATAACACAAAAATTAGCTTTAGAGCTAAGTAAGTCCCACCCAACCCCGTAAAATAATAGGTTTGATGAAAATAATATTTTGTACAATATATATATGAAAAAGTAGATTAAGAGATAAATTTAATGGTATACTTCTTTCAAAATGGATGATCCTTACTATCGTTAAATAAAATATTTTCTTGATAGGTTCTAGTAATGTCTTAAAATATATTTGTATTAAATTCCTAATACATTTGAAAGGCGGTGCTCAACATTTTATTGAGCCCGATGGTCCGTTGTTATGTACGGCCACCCCGGGACTTTTGCCGGTACCACTTCTAACCTGAGGAAACTGAACCTCTACCTTAAGTGTGCACGCCCTCTAAAAGGGATTCCAAGCCCTCCGAGTAGTAAGAAGTCCAAGTAGTTCGGACGTCAACGTCCCCCTACTCCACCAAAAAGGGGATTACCCTATATAAGTGACTAGGTTACTGCTACTACTGAATAACAGGGTCTTTTGCCCGAATTTGAATTTCAATAAAAACAACCACTTTAACCAATCTCCACAGTCAAGGTCGTGGACACCAAATCCCAACAAGTAATAGCAGTCCTAATCACTCTCCACAGTCAAGGTCGTGGAGGACACCGACATCCCGGATTTCTCCCGTGATGCCCTTACATTGAAAGGTTCATTTTATCTTTATTATTTTCGAAAAAATAATTCGGGATTACTACTCACGTAATTTCCCAAAGTTATTCAATCATCCAACAATGCATCACATATTCATATATTGCTCAACAAATAGTCAAATAGTAAAATTTCACATTCATACATACAATATATACGAGGTAAAAATGCATTTTGGTTGCAATGTGACTTACCTCAAATTCCAATTATTCTTAATAAGCTTCTGTATCGACTTCTGCTCCGATTTCACCTTCCATATATTTATTTAAAATTCTCAAGGTTAATATAACATTCATTCTAAATTATAGCTTAATTGTTCTTCCCGTTTCAATATCCTTTAATTAATATACTTTTCTATTTTACTATAGAGGTCATCACGAGTCATCCATTTAAGTCTATTTTAATTGGTCTGCTTGGTCTACCAGTGTAGGTTACTAATTACTACGGAGTATATAATTAACTTGTTTTATTCCATTGCTGTTAATTTTGTTCATAGATAGTATAATTGAGTCATATACTTCATGATCATTAATCTAGTATAATTAGTCTACTTCGCAATTAACCGAGTCAAACAATTTACTGCTATTGTATTATATATTCCGATCCATAATATGTTAGTTTAGTCTGTATTACTAGTTCACTCTTATAGTAATCCACATAATCATTTTTTTTTATACTAATATTAAATGTCGGCCAGTTTTTAAATGTCCGTATTACTATGTCATATCATTTTTTTTATTACTAGTCCGATTATAACCATTGATTAGTTTACTATTTTAGTTGAAATGTCGGTCAGTTGAAATGACGTAATTATCCTAACCAAGAAGGTGATAATTCAAATAAAAGAATAATTACTAATCCATATTAAAATATCTCTTAACGACACAACTATGATTACTTTTATCTTATTTTTTTTATTATCATTGCTATGTACGTAGTACTTAATATTGATAGCATAGCATCATTTTTATTAACTAATTACTTTGTGTCCAGGATTAAAGGAATTCGGCCAGCACGTTAGATTATTTTTGTTGATGTCTTATTAGTCCAACTACTTAATATTAAGACTTTTGGCCCAATTAATTAAGAATACCCAGTCTGAATCTAACGCTCGTCATCTTCTTTGCTAAACCGTCGGGATCGCAGGTTACGAAGAAGGAGATTGTAACCTTACCTTAACGATAGCAAGTGGTTCGCCTGTTGGACGTAGCTCAGTCGGCGGCAGCTAGCAGTGGTTTGGCGAGCTCCGGTAGTTCCTCCTCTTTTGTTTTTCCGACGTACGGAGTAGTCCGGCAATTACTCCGGCAAGCCTTTTCCCCCTCCGGTGATGATCGACTACCTCTTAGTCTCTATTTCCAGCTTCTTCCCCAACCGGCCGAAGGTTTGAAGGTGCTATTAGCTATGGTTTTCTAGGAGTGGCATGAGGTTGAGGGTGGCACATATGTGTGTTTAGCTACGAATTTGCTTGTTCATTTTGTGATGGTGCAGCCTAGTTTGGTTGTATTTATACTGGGGGATTGAAGGTTCTGGTTACGACCAACGCATGTGGGTGCATAAAATTGTATATCTTGATCTGGCCTTATTCAACATATGCATGTGTGTGAATGTGTACTTCCTTGTTCGTATATGGCAGGTGCATGGTGTACGCATATGGCTTTGGTCCCTTGAAAGGTCAACTTTGGTTTGATACATTGCATACATAAATTACTTAGCTACAAACACGTATATACTATTATTATTATTATTATTATTATTATTATTATTATTATTATTATTATTATTATTATTATTATTATTATTATTATTATTATTATTATTATTATTATTATTATTATTATTATTATTATTATTATTATTATTATTATTATTATTATTATTATTATTATTATTATTATTATTATTATTATTATTATTATTATTATTATTATTATTATTATTATTATTATTATTATTATTATTATTATTATTATTATTATTATTATTATTATTATTATTATTATTATTATTATTATTATTATTATTATTATTATTATTATTATTATTATTATTATTATTATTATTATTATTATTATTATTATTATTATTATTATTATTATTATTATTATTATTATTATTATTATTATTATTATTATTATTATTATTATTATTATTATTATTATTATTATTATTATTATTATTATTATTATTATTATTATTATTATTATTATTATTATTCATGTATGTGAGTTTATATATTACGGGTATTATTATTTGAGTGTACAGCTCAACCTTTTGATGTTGTTACTTTTGCATGTTATTTGGCTAGTGTACGTAACTTTGTGCATACCACAAATCAATACTTATTCAATAAAATGTCACTTTTTAATATTCATGTATAATTATTATTGTTACAAAAAAAACGTCACTTTATTATTTAAATCAAAGTCTTATCTGGACAATTCCATTATTATAAGAGTGTCACTTTTGCTACATGTTATTTATTTTACTTTATTTAATTTTTTTTTTTGAAGTGTCACATTCTACCCTCCTTAAAGAATGCTTCGCCCTCGAAGCATAGACTAAGATTAAATTTAAGTATGAGGGTGAAGTATTACAAGTTTGTAGGGTATTACAACCTACTCCCCTAAAAGAAAGGTTACGTCCTCGTAACCCAATATTTACCTTAGTTGAACAGTTCAGGATACCGTTTACGCATATCCTCTTCTGTCTCCCATGTTGCATTCTCAGTCAGATGGTTTGACCAAAGTACCTTTACCATCTTAACGGTCTTCTTCCTTGTCTCTCGGGTCTTAGTGTCGAGGATCTCTATGGGTTTTTCTTCGTAGGATAATGTCTCATCCATTTCAATCACCTAATAATATAAGGTTAACTTATATTATTTTCAATTTGCATTTGGCTCATGTTAAGTCTAGGATTTCTTACCTCCGGATTGATGATATGTGACTCATCTCGAACATACTTCTTTAATTGTGATACGTGAAAGACGTTATGTACCTAGCATATATCGGTATGTTAAGAATGTATTCCAATCGTAGAGAAGTATTTGATGTCAAATCGGTTGTTACCTTATCCAACTCCGTGGGCAGAGCTAATCGATATGCCACTCTTCCCACCTTCTCTAGGATGTCGTAGGGTCCGATGAATCTCGGGCTTAGTTTCCCTTTCTTCCCGAACCTCATTACGCCCCTTGTAGGAGAGACTTTGAGTAAAACTTTCTCCCCCTGTTCGAATTCGGCTGGTTTTCTCCCGAGATCGGCATATGATTTCTGTCGGTCTTGGGCAGCCTTCATCCTTTCTTGGATGACTTTGATTTTCTCAATAGTATCTTGCAAGTATTGTGGTCCTAGAACCACCTGATCGACCATGTCACCCCAACATAAGGGACTTCTACACTTTTGACCGTATAGAGCTTCGTACGGGGCCATTCCGATGCTAGTATGGTAACTGTTATTGTACGAAAACTCTATCAAGTCTAGGTGTTCATCCCACGATCCTTGCAAGTCAAGAACACATGCCCTCAACATGTCTTCCAATGTTTGGATTGTTCTTTCGGTCTGTCCGTCCGTGGTTGGATGGAAAGCGGTACTTAACTTCAATTTTGTCCCCATAGCCGTTTGTAATTCCTTCCAGAATTGGGATAAGAATCGTGAATCTCTATCAGATACAATATCTCGGGGTACACCGTGATACTTGACCACATGCCTGATGTAGGCTTTCGCCAGCTTATCCATGCTCCAAGTTTCATTCATGGGAATGAATCTGGCGGTCTTGGTCAATCTATCAACAATAACCCAAATCTTATCCTTCCCGGACTTTGTTAAAGGTAATCCGCCGACAAAGTCCATCGAGATTGAGTCCCACTTCCACGTTGGTACCTCCAAGGGTTGCACAAGTCCCTTGGGCTTGCATCTCTCAGCTTTCACTTTTTGACAGTTTAAGCATCGAGCCACAAACTCTGCCACCTCATTCTTCATTCTCGGCCACCAGAAGTTTTGCTTCAGATCTTTATACAATTTGTCTCCTCCCGGGTGTACCGAATAGGGCGTGTTGTGTCCTTCTTCCATGATTTGCTTTTTAATGTGCTCACATTTCATCGGAACACACCACCTACCCTTATAGCGGATACTCCCATCTTCATGCAGCTGAAATGGTCCGTTGATCCCATTCTTCATCCCGGCCTTGACTCGTTCAAGCTTCACATCTCCCGGTTGACCAACTTTGATTTCATCGAAGATAGAGGGTAAAATGGTCATTGTGTATAACCGGATTTCACTCTCCACTTCACCGCACTCCTTCACCTCCAAGTCTAGTCGTTGGAATTCCCGATATAGCTCTTCTGGAAGTATCCACATTGCTCTGCTGCTATGTTCTGCCTTCCTGCTTAAGGCATCAGCTACAACATTGGCTTTCCCTTCATGGTACTGAATTTCGAGATCATAGTCTTTGACTAGCTCTAGCCACCTCCGTTGTCGCATATTGAGCTCTTTTTGGGTGAAGATGTACTTAAGGCTTTTGTGATCGGTGTATATCTTGCACGGTGGTCCGTACAAGTAGTGCCTCCATATCTTCAAAGCAAACACTATCGCTGCTAACTCGAGGTCGTGGGTTGGGTAGTTAACCTCATGCACCCTTAGTTGTCGGGATGCATAAGCTACTACCTTCCCATTCTGCATCAGCACGCAGCCCAGTCCATTCTTGGATGCATCGCAATAGATTTCAAATCCATCAGTTCCCGAAGGAAGTGTTAGTACTGGTGCAGTTGTCAGTCTTTTCTTAAGCTCCTCGAAGGCTCCCTCACAATCATCCGTCCACTGGAACTTTGTGGTCTTCTTCATCAAATTGGTTAACGGTCTAGCTATCTTGGAGAAATCTTTGACGAATCTCCGATAATAGCCTGCTAACCCAAGAAAACTCCGCACTTCGGTGACAGTGGTAGGTGCTCGCCACTCGGTTACTGCTTCAATCTTTGATGGGTCCACAGAAACTCCGTCTCGAGTGATGATGTGACCCAGAAATGCTATTCGGTCTTTCCAAAAGTCACACTTGGAAAGCTTGGCATAAAGTTGATGCTCTCTCAAGGTTTGTAAAACAACCCTAAGATGTTCTTCATGATCCTTCTCGTTCTTCGAGTACACCAAGATATCGTCAATGAATACCACCACAAATGTATCAAGATAGGGGCGGAATACACGGTTCATTAGGTCCATGAACACCGCTGGTGCGTTGGTTAAACCAAACGGCATCACGGTGAACTCATAGTGCCCATATCTCGTACGAAATGCAGTCTTCGGTATATCCTTCTCCGCTATCCTCACTTGGTGGTAGCCGGATCGAAGGTCAATCTTGGAAAATATGCCTGCACCCTTCAGTTGATCGAACAGGTCGTCGATTCTGGGTAAAGGGTATCGGTTCTTGATGGTAACACTGTTCAGCTCTCGGTAGTCAATACATAGCCTCAAGCTACCGTCTTTCTTCTTGACAAACAGAACCGGAGCGCCCCATGGTGAGACACTCGGCCTGATGTAGCCTTTCTCGCGTAGTTCTTCAAGTTGCTCTTTCAATTCTTGCATCTCCTTCGGAGCCATCCTGTACGGTGCCTTGGAGATTGGTGTAGTAGCCGACATTAAGTCAATGGAGAATTCAACTTCCCTCTCCGGAGGCATCCCCGGTATCTCTTCCGGAAACACATCAGGGAATTCATTGACCACCGGAATCTGATCAATTGTCTGCTCTTCTTCATTGTTGTCTCTCATCATGCATAAGTATGCCTCACATCCCTTCCGGATGTACCTCCTCATCTGCCGCATTGTCATCAACTTGGTTCCGGGTTTGTCCACTATTGCCTTGAAAGATACCCGCTTCCCACATGGGCTCTTCATGGCCACCTTCTGCTCATTGCATAAGATCTTCGCCTTGTATCTCCCAAGCCAATCCATGCCCAGCACCACGTCAATGTCTTCGAGGTCGAATTGCACCAAATCCCCAGGTAGGCTGACGTCGGCTATAACTATGGGAACATTCATGTATACATTTCTACAGGCTACAACACTATTGTTTGCTGTTTTCACATTCAACTCTATGCTAGCTGCAGGTTCTATGTTTAACTTCTCAACGAATTTAGAAGAGATAAAACTGTGAGAAGCACCAGAATCAAATAGAACGTAAGCAGGAGTGGTATTAACATGAATGATACCTGAAACCACATCGTGTGCGCGGGCCTGAACCTGATTCATTACATAAATCCGGCCCTGATTGGGAGGTTGTTGTTGTTTTTGTTGTTTCCCCCTCCTTGGTTCTGATTCTGGCCCCGATTGCTGTTTTGTGCTTGATTTCCCGGGTTGTTGTTGCCCCGGTTTTCAGCTCCTTGCCTGTTCCCACCTTGATTACTGCCTCCACGGATAGGTCCCTGGTTTTGATTACCAGCCTTTTCTTTGTTTAGGCATTCGAATGCCCGATGTCCCCTTTTCCCGCAAGTGAAACAACTCACCACTTTTCCATCACAGTCAACACCAGGGTGATCTCGTTGGCACAACTTGCAATGGTAATGTCTGTCTCTTGGCACATATCGTTGATCTTGCCTTGGACCCTGCCCGGGGAATCTCCTTCCATCTTGTGGATGATCCCCTCTCCTCCACGTGGGCTGTTGTTCCTGCTGATGAGTTTTGAGCCTCTTCTCCCTTGCCTTATTCTCCTCCTCATTCTTCCGGATTTTCTTGTGGGCTTCTCGTTGGAGTTGTATTACCCGATAGTGCTTCGCAGCTTTGTAATAGGCATCATCCAATGTTTGCCATTCTTGCACAGTCATCATCTTCTGTGTGTCATAGTTCAGTCCTCCGATGAACTTCTCGATCTTACTCTCCTCATCGGGTACAAGTGATGTTGCAAATTCTGCTAGTGTGACAAATTGACTGTGATATTCTTGCACCGTCATTTCCCCCTGCTTCAAGTGTAGGAACTTGTCACGATTTTCTGCTTGCACGTGTGGAGGGTAAAATCTTTTTCGCAGTGCACACTTGAAGTGATCCCAAGTGAAGTTCGGTTGTGTGCTCATCCTTGGTCCCACATGAACCCACCATTTATCTGCTTCTTCATGCAGATAATAAACAGCGATGTTAATTCGTTGATCTGTCGGGCAATTGATCGCGTCAAATAGCTTGTCGAAGGTGCGTATCCAATTCTCGAGAAGGACGGGATCCTCTTGCCCAAGGAAGTTCGGCGGGTTTCGTGCCGCTACACGACTTTCCAAGTTATTGTCGTTGTTGGGTTGGTTCCGAAGGAACGCCACATTGACTGTCTGGGCAAGCTGCGTGAGGGCTTGCGCTAGCTCAGCATTGGTAGGGACGGCATTCGGATCTCTCCTCGGTGGCATGGTGGCTCTATATGGATAGTAACTTGAATTAAAAAAAAATCTCCCTACTTTCCCTAAGGATCCTAGAACTAAGGATTCCATAGGCTACCAAGTTATCATATAGTTATTTCATCACACAAGTGTAAATATTCACAGATATGATTCACATTTCATATCACAACATTTTTTTCACATAATGTACATACCTTGGCGACTTTGGAATTTTGCCTTATGAGGCATTCCCTTTAACGCTTGGGGTTCCCATTTCATATATGGGCCCACAATTCTCAACTTTTCACATACTATATATAACATAAAAGTAATACTCACAAGGTCCTCACCACGTTCCTAAAGGCCATTTTCTAGCTATCTTATTTTCCTTAGTCAAAATATTTTGAAAATCCTCATTTGAGGGTACGATTCCAAAGGTTTTATTTAAGGATTTCGAACAACGAAGTTTCAGCACAAGGAGAAATTCCCAGTTAGTTGGACGAGCGCAAAGGCTCAATTATGCACCAACCAGCTCAGACTCTTATCGTCTTGTAGACAGAATTCCTCCCTACGACCTATTACCTCGTGTCCTAACCCTTTCAGAAAACCTATGGGCTCTGATACCAATTTATTTGTAACACCCCAAATTTTCCCACACAAATAGCTTGGAAATTTTATAATAAAATGATAACTTTATTAAGACAATTTCAGCAGAAGTCTTTAACAATGAAAATTTAGAGTGTTACCGCCACACTTAGCAAAACATGGCTAAGTGCACAGGCAAATAAAACCAATGTACTTAATGAAATAACACGTGCGAAGTAAAAATAACAAAAGTGATCCAGAGTGATGTTCTTAAATTTAAATAAAAGCCGTGCTAGAGTATCTTCTAATGGACGCTCTCAAGTCTCTAACCAAGCACATCATCCAAAGCAATATCATCTGTAATTATAGAGAAAGAAAAGAAACAAATAACACAAAAATTAGCTTTAGAGCTAAGTAAGTCCCACCCAACCCCGTAAAATAATAGGTTTGATGAAAATAATATTTTGTACAATATATATATGAAAAAGTAGATTAAGAGATAAATTTAATGGTATACTTCTTTCAAAATGGATGATCCTTACTATCGTTAAATAAAATATTTTCTTGATAGGTTCTAGTAATGTCTTAAAATATATTTGTATTAAATTCCTAATACATTTGAAAGGCGGTGCTCAACATTTTATTGAGCCCGATGGTCCGTTGTTATGTACGGCCACCCCGGGACTTTTGCCGGTACCACTTCTAACCTGAGGAAACTGAACCTCTACCTTAAGTGTGCACACCCTCTAAAAGGGATTCCAAGCCCTCCGAGTAGTAAGAAGTCCAAGTAGTTCGGACGTCAACGTCCCCCTACTCCACCAAAAAGGGGATTACCCTATATAAGTGACTAGGTTACTGCTACTACTGAATAACAGGGTCTTTTGCCCGAATTTGAATTTCAATAAAAACAACCACTTTAACCAATCTCCACAGTCAAGGTCGTGGACACCAAATCCCAACAACTAATAGCAGTCCTAATCACTCTCCACAGTCAAGGTCGTGGAGGACACCGACATCCCGGATTTCTCCCGTGATGCCCTTACATTGAAAGGTTCATTTTATCTTTATTATTTTCGAAAAAATAATTCGGGATTACTACTCACGTAATTTCCCAAAGTTATTCAATCATCCAACAATGCATCACATATTCATATATTGCTCAACAAATAGTCAAATAGTAAAATTTCACATTCATACATACAATATATACGAGGTAAAAATGCATTTTGGTTGCAATGTGACTTACCTCAAATTCCAATTATTCTTAATAAGCTTCTGTATCGACTTCTGCTCCGATTTCACCTTCCATATATTTATTTAAAATTCTCAAGGTTAATATAACATTCATTCTAAATTATAGCTTAATTGTTCTTCCCGTTTCAATATCCTTTAATTAATATACTTTTCTATTTTACTATAGAGGTCATCACGAGTCATCCATTTAAGTCTATTTTAATTGGTCTGCTTGGTCTACCAGTGTAGGTTACTAATTACTACGGAGTATATAATTAACTTGTTTTATTCCATTGCTGTTAATTTTGTTCATAGATAGTATAATTGAGTCATATACTTCATGATCATTAATCTAGTATAATTAGTCTACTTCGCAATTAACCGAGTCAAACAATTTACTGCTATTGTATTATATATTCCGATCGATAATATGTTAGTTTAGTCTGTATTACTAGTTCACTCTTATAGTAATCCACATAATCATTTTTTTTTTATACTAATATTAAATGTCGGTCAGTTTTTAAATGTCCGTATTACTATGTCATATCATTTTTTTTATTACTAGTCCGATTATAACCATTGATTAGTTTACTATTTTAGTTGAAATGTCGGTCAGTTGAAATGACGTAATTATCCTAACCAAGAAGGTGATAATTCAAATAAAAGAATAATTACTAATCCATATTAAAATATCTCCTAACGACACAACTATGATTACTTTTATCTTATTTTTTTATTATCATTGCTATGTACGTAGTACTTAATATTGATAGCATAGCATCATTTTTATTAACTAATTACTTTGTGTCCAGGATTAAAGGAATTCGGCCAGCACGTTAGATTATTTTTGTTGATGTCTTATTAGTCCAACTACTTAATATTAAGACTTTTGGCCCAATTAATTAAGAATACCCAGTCTGAATCTAACGCTCGTCATCTTCTTTGCTAAACCGTCGGGATCGCAGGTTACGAAGAAGGAGATTGTAACCTTACCTTAACGATAGCAAGTGGTTCGCCTGTTGGACGTAGCTCAGTCGGCGGCAGCTAGCAGTGGTTTGGCGAGCTCCGGTAGTTCCTCCTCTTTTGTTTTTCCGACGTACGGAGTAGTCCGGCAATTACTCCGGCAAGCCTTTTCCCCCTCCGGTGATGATCGACTACCTCTTAGTCTCTATTTCCAGCTTCTTCCCCAACCGGCCGAAGGTTTGAAGGTGCTATTAGCTATGGTTTTCTAGGAGTGGCATGAGGTTGAGGGTGGCACATATGTGTGTTTAGCTACGAATTTGCTTGTTCATTTTGTGATGGTGCAGCCTAGTTTGGTTGTATTTATACTGGGGGATTGAAGGTTCTGGTTACGACCAACGCATGTGGGTGTATAAAATTGTATATCTTGATCTGGCCTTATTCAACATATGCATGTGTGTGAATGTGTACTTCCTTGTTCGTATATGGCAGGTGCATGGTGTACGCATATGGCTTTGGTCCCTTGAAAGGTCAACTTTGGTTTGATACATTGCATACATAAATTACTTAGCTACAAACACGTATATACTATTATTATTATTATTATTATTATTATTATTATTATTATTATTATTATTATTATTATTATTATTATTATTATTATTATTATTATTATTATTATTATTATTATTCATGTATGTGAGTTTATATATTACGGGTATTATTATTTGAGTGTACAGCTCAACCTTTTGATGTTGTTACTTTTGCATGTTATTTGGCTAGTGTACGTAACTTTGTGCATACCACAAATCAATACTTATTCAATAAAATGTCACTTTTTAATATTCATGTATAATTATTATTGTTACAAAAAAAACGTCACTTTATTATTTAAATCAAAGTCTTATCTGGACAATTCCATTATTATAAGAGTGTCACTTTTGCTACATGTTATTTATTTTACTTTATTTAATTTTTTTTTTTTTGAAGTGTCACAATATGGCCCAGGAAACCCCGGCCCATAGACTCCTACTTCTCCTACGCAAGTCCATTGAGCCCATGGAACATCTCAGGCCCAAATACAACGGCCCAGGCGTCAAGGAAGCCCAGAATACACACTGGGATGCCTTCGGCCTCCTTGGCCGAAGGCTCCAGAACTCACAGGATAGCCTTTTTTGGGCATACGGAGCTACTGGGAGAAAACGGCAGAAAACAAGAGCCTTCGGCATATTGAGCCCTCGGCACTGGTGAAAGCCTTCGGCTATCCCAACCCTCGGTCACGTAGGGTCTTCGGCCATATGAAGCCCTCGGCCGTACATGAAGCCATCGGCTACGCAAGGAGCCTTCGGCTGAACACGCTCAATCATCGAAGATTCCCTTTGGAGACAGCCAACCACCGCATTTAATGCGACGTCACATCCACCCACCGCATTCAATGCGGTGAACATGCCACTGCCAGTGCCACCCGATTGATGTGACCCCTCGGCCGTCAGATTGTTGACACGTGTACTCTCATCGCATTTATTGCTGCTATAAATTGCAGCCCATTTTTCCTTGTAAAGGATCCCAGATCCAGATCTCATATCTCGAGTTCATTTAATAAAATCGACTCTCTCTCCTCCTATTTTGCTCTGACTTCTCTCTATTTATTCCCGCAATAACCCCTCGGATAAGATACCCCCCGGGTAGACTATCCATCAGCCTCCAAACAAATACTCCTCCACTAACTCAAACATATCAAGATAATTTGCATGATTCAGTGGGGTCTGAGGCCTTACTCATCACCTCTGAGAGTTTAAAAGTACACACATCGTCCTCAACTCTCAGAGAAAGTGAACCATCAGCAACATCAACAAGGGCCCGAACAGTAGCCGGAAATGGCCTCCCTAAAATAAGCGGAGTCTCACGATCTTTCTCCATGTCCATGATCACAAAATCAACAGGGAAAATGAACTTGTGCACCCGTACTAATACATCCTCTAGAATTCCTTTCAGGTATTTCACTGATCGATCCGCTAGCTGGAGGCTCATACGAGTGGGCTTAAGTACACCCAATCCAAGTTTCATGACCACCGAGGAAGGCATCCAATTAATGCTCGCTCCCAAATCAACTAAAGCATTATTAAACTTAAAATTATCAATCAAAGAAGTAATAGTAAAACTCTCTGGATCTTTTAACTTTGGAGGCATGGTCCTCAGAACAACTGTTCAACATTCTACGTTGAGATCCACGACTTCTGGCTCTTCCCACCTACTCTTTTTCGTGAGGAGGTCCTTTAGAAACTTTGCATGTCTCGGCATCTCTGTCAAAGCTTTCACAAATGGGACATTAATATGGAGCTGCTTCAGATGCTCCATAAATTTGATTGATTCGTTTTATCGTTGCTCCTCTTCACTCGTGTAGGGAACGAGATAGGTGGAATCTTTTTACTCTTCTCCTTATTCTGAGGCTCTTCATTCTTAGCTTCTTCACTCATGACTAGATAGGGGGTGGTCACTATCACTGGTTCTTCTCCAACCTCCTAAGATTATGGGCCTTGAGGTTCCTGGTTATCTCTTTGTTGGGAAAATGGTGGAAGATCAACTTCTTTAAGTGGCATTCTGTTTCCCTTGATTCTAATTTTCAGTCTCCATGAGCCACCTCCTTGCTGACAGTTTCCCCTCTGATCTTGATTGTTGAAAAATTGCCCAACACGTCTTTGGGCTTGACCATATTCTATGCAATTCACATCACAGACCACTGGAGCTGCCTGATTCTGGACAAAAAGAGGGTAGGTGTGAGTGAGGTGAGCTCTCATGCCCATCTCACAAGACAAAGTGAGTTTTTGGTCTGTTGGGCTTGGGTAGCTTGCTCGAACAGGAAGTGGGGCAGAATGCATAGGATAAGAGGGTCCATATGCCTTAATATTATGGACTTGCTGCTGCTGAGAGGTTTGTGCCTTCAAGTCTTTCACGTCCACTGCCGGTCCATCAATCTTCGCTGTGAGTGCAGTGATGGGATCCAGATTGAGCAAACCAGGTAGATTTTGAGTTCTCTCTTTGCCTGCATACCAATACTTATCATTTGAATCTAAGTTCTCGATTATCTTCTCTTACGCCTGTGGGGATAATATTAGAAACATAACCCCTTGAGCTGCTTGGTCTAGTTCTCTCGTGTAGTCCGGTCGAAGCCCATTATAAAATCGATACACATAATGGTTGTTGAATTCATGAATGTGTAACACTTGAGATTTAATATAAACAGATTAATAGTACTACTCATACCAACAGAGGTGCATCTCCTTTTAAGGGAGCTCATCACCCAAGAACTCCAGAGTTAAGCGTGCTTGCACGGGAGTAGTCTTGGGATGGGTGACCCCCTGGGAAGTTTCTCGGGGCGCGCATGAGTGAGGACAAAGTGCGCGGTAAAGGCTCGTGGTGGTTTGTGAGGACAGTACTATTGGTCCGGAGTAACTACCTCGAGTCCGGTGGGGCCGGGGTGTTACAGGTGGTATCAAAGCAACCCCGCGACAGTGTGATGACCCGTTGGATATCGGGCGGGCACTTAGCGGGGGAAGATTCTGGGATTTGATTGAGATTTGAGATTGGTTCAAGGGCGCAACGAGGACGTTGCGATCCTAAGTGGGGGTGATTGTAACACTTGAGATTTAATATAAACAGATTAATAGTACTACTCATACCAACAGAGGTGCATCTCCTTTTAAGGGAGCTCATCACCCAAGAACTCCAGAGTTAAGCGTGCTTGCACGGGAGTAGTCTTGGGATGGGTGACCCCCTGGGAAGTTTCTCGGGGCGCGCATGAGTGAGGACAAAGTGCGCGGTAAAGGCTCGTGGTGGTTTGTGAGGACAGTACTATTGGTCCGGAGTAACTACCTCGAGTCCGGTGGGGCCGGGGTGTTACAGGATGTTTCTGGACACTTCCTTCTCAACCTAAGTCTTTCCCACGCTTCACTGAAAGTTTTAGTCAGAGCTTGAGTGAAATTGAGAATTTTTGTCTGAACCTTGATAGCGGCAGAGGGAGGAAAATACTCCTGCATAAATGCCTGATGAAGCTTCTCCCATGTATCAAAATGCCAATTTGGAAAACTACAAAGCCACCCAGAAGTCGTGTCTCTCAACGAGAATGGAAATAAGGTCAACCTCACCGCCTCGCTCGATACTCATTGTATTTGAATGTACCACAAGTCTGAAAAAAACTCTCAATATGCTCCATTAGATCTTGAAACAATGACATAAATATTATCTATATAGTTTTAAAGGACCAAAATATGACTATTTATAATTTTTAAAAAAATATGATTTACTGTTGCACCTTTCTTCCCTCATCCGCCCCCCTATCACTTCTCCCGCCAATCTTGCAGACATCTCCTCTGCTCCCAGCCTCCCACTCATCCGCGAACGTCTTGCTTCAAGTCGTCTCCTCAAGCTCAGCCATGGCAGCCGCCCCAGCCATCTCATGTCGCCGTCTCTATCGTGTCAGTTTAAGCTAGTGTCGCTTTGATTCGTTTTCGTGCCCCAGTAATGACGGAAAAGGCTTCTCCGGAAGATGACGGGCGAAGCTTGGATGAAGGACGAAGCTTGGGCGATGGCTCCAATGGACGACAAGCGGAGATTGGAATCCATTGGCGACTGGCAATGCTTTGTGATTTTGGTGGTCAATCTGGCATCGGTTTTGGCGACTAATTTGGTTTCAAACATTGTGGGCTGTGAAACAATGTTGGTGGAGCTGCAAAGTGATGTTGTAGGGGGGCTGCGAGCTGGGGTGTGGTTAGTGCAGGGGGAGGGGAAGTGGTTGAGGTTCTTGAGGATAGGGGTTGGGTGGAAGACCTGGGCAGGGGCTATGGGGAAGTGATAGCTAGGGTATTGGGGCCACTGGGGGCAGGGGTGGTGCAAGGCAGAGGGTTTTGGGGTTGGGGGAGGGTAGGCTGCGGTTGAGGACTGGTGGTGTTAAGAATTTAATTCACGCACACGAAAAACAATAATGAAGAACACACGAAATTTGGTAACCCAGGCCAGTTCGCCACGAATGACTACGTCTGGGGGCGCTACCAAGCCATGAATATTATTGCTATTTTCGAATCCAAGAGATTACAATGGGAGAGAGCTTGTATTTATAGAGAGTAAAACCTACCCCTAATCCAACTAGGGGGCTCGGCTGATAAAAAAAAAAGGGAAAATGTGTACGGCCCAACTGTACGGAATCCGTACGGCCCAGTTGTACGGAATTGTACGGAAAACTTGTTCGTAAAAAACGGACCAAAAATTTCGGATCGACAGATAGAGATTGGTTATACAATCTCTAACACCTTACAATCTCCCACCTAGAGACTGTCTTCTCCA